CCCCCCCCCCGTGACCTGGAACTTGACACCATGTGACACAATCCATCTTCTCTGTATCTTTCAAGTGGAAATTGGGAAAGAATCCTTTTGATCATCACTGTTGCCTGCAGGTCGTGATCCAGTAATGGATTCTGAAACGAAATGTGTGGGCCGTCACCAGCATTTAGAAAGAACAGAAAGGGGCGCCTGGCTGGCTCAGTTGGTAGAGCACGTGACTCTCGAGCTCAAGGTCTTGAGTTTAAGCCCCACGCTGTGCATGGAGCCCACTTTAAAAAAAAGAAAGAAAGAAAAGAGATAGCAGGATGTAATACACATAGCGAAAGTAACTATTTTTTGGTGAAACTTCTTCAGGTGTGTGTGCACGCATGCAGTCCTCCAATAGCATATATTTCTTATAGTCAAAAATATCCAGTCCTCACGCTTTATAGCATGTCTCACTCGGACTTGACAATCTAACTACCACCTCTGTTTTGCTGCTTCTTCAAGGTATGCGAAATCCAGTCAGATCAAGACCGTGTCAAGCAGCAAGATATTTTTTAAAGGAAGTAGATTTCGATATAGGTGGGTACCTGTGGTTCCATTTTGATGGTGGGTTAGGGTGGGGGCACTCATTTACTTTTTGAATATCCTGCTTATAAATCAGTGCGCTTTGGCTTGTATGCCTGTTTTGGTCCTCCCTTTCCAGTCCACTCATGTCTGACCCTCATGGGCCCCCCTCAGATTCCATAGTAACTTCTCGGATGGAGGAAGAGAAGGCGTGGATTTCTAGAGTGGATCAGACCATTGTGAAGTTAAAAAAAAACAATACACGAGCACACCCCTCCCCTTCTGTTGTGAGTGTGTGTGCACAGATGTTGTGTTTCTCTTTTGCAGCGGTAAAGTTGCCAAAGAGGTGGTAGAGGCCAGCTCCAAAATCCAGAGGGAGCCTCCGGAAGTGCACAGGTAAGGGGGTGGTCTGTGGGGCTCTGGGAGGCTTCAGGCATGGACAGAAGGTTTTCAGGCTTGCTCTGCCACATTCTCTGTAACAGGAGAGGGTGTAAGGGCACCACATGCCTGTCCTTCTGTCAGCGTGGGCACATCTGTCTCCAGGCACGGTGCTTTCGCTGTTCTGGAAGCTTCCCAGGGACAGACTTGACAGGGCCATGGCGTGAGTGCGGCCCAACTGCATTTTGAGTTGCTTGCTCTGTGGGGAGTCATTGGCTTGATTGGGCCCGGAGTGTCACATGCACAGTGTGTGTGAGGCACGGCGGTGTCATCTCTTGGCCGAGTCTGTCGTCTGCCTTCTTAGAAGTGCTCTCTGTTCATCAGATGTGGCTGGTACCCATTGGCCTGACTTCTGTTAGACTGTTTCACATGAGGAAGGCAGGCGGTGCTCATCTCTCTCGGGGCTCCTCACTCCCAAAGGTCACTCAGAGGAATGAGGAACTTAGTCATTAGTGGTTCAAGAGTACGCATCTTCATAATGTGGCAGCATATGCTGTTCTGAGAATGAAATATTCTCTTGGTCACGTTGGACTTTCTATCACCATGAGACACACAGATCATTGCACACCCTAAACCTCAAACATGCTAACTATCTAAAGCTGAACATTATCATGACGTTCTCCTTTTTGAAGGCAAGGTCATCCTAAGTTATGTTTTTTAGGAGGTTCTCACACACTGGTTGGCACCTGTTCCTTCCCCTTCTGTGGACTTGGAGGAATCTCCCTTATGCTCGTATTTGCCCAGTCTCCTCTGTTTCCAGCATGACCCCGTGAGCTGGGTGCCTCTTACCTTATTCCCTGGGTTGTTGGGTCTCTTGAAAGAGTGGCTGAGCCAGCCTGGCCCAGCATCCAGACAGCACTTCTCTCCCACACAGGGGAGCAAGACCATAGTTGGCACAGGATCCCATGCAGATGTGTACAGAGAACAATTCTTTCCTGGTTTGGGTGACCCAGTGAGAAGCTGTCACGTGCACGTCTGCAGACGTGGTCTTTCCTGCTTCTCGAAGCAGGAGAAAGCTGTAGGGCTAGGGAAGCTGGAGCACTGTGGCAGAACCGTGAAAGTCTTCTAACCTACCTCTTGATAACACTAATCTTTTATTTGTATTTACTTATTTTTAAAATAGTCTTTACAGTCCCTCTTCTACCACAAATTGTGGTTACTCGGTGTGGCAGAAATGAAAAGAGGAAATGATAAAATGTATCATTTGAACTTTCCTAGACTCTGGGCCAGAAATGACCTTAAGGATCACCTAATTTGATGCTTCTATTTTATAGACAAGGGAACGTGGGTCTCGGAGAAGTTAAAAGATTTATCTAAAGTCATAATTTTTTTTTCTTGTGGCAGACCTAAGCCTGTGTTCTTTTCTTTGTAGCCTTTGCCACCCAGAAACCCTCTGGCATTCTCTTAGAAGCTGGGAGGCAGAACCACCCCAAGGGATCTGCTTGGGTTTTAGTCTTCTAACATGAAGTGTGAGTGTTTGATCTCAAAAAAAAAAAAGAAAGAAATACTTGATGCTGGGGAGTTCTCTTGACAGCACAAACACAAAGAAGGAAACTGTTTTTAACAAAATGCTTTCAGAGACTCATATTCCCAATACGTAAGACTTTCCAAGAATCCCATAGTTATCATATATAGATGGTTAGTGAGATCAGAAATAATTGGAAAAAGCATTTCTTTTTTCAATTGAGGTTTGCTTAATTTATGGGAATCAAGGATTCCTAGATCAGGGCTTCTCAAACTTTAACTTGGACAGGGATCACCTACGGATCTTGTTAAAATCAGATTCCGATTCATGAATCTGGCATTTCTAATGAGCTCCTAGGTGGTGGCCATGTGGCGGGTTCATGGACCACACTTTGAGTAGCCAGGCTGTGGGAGTGAGGGGAGCAGAGTGGCCATAGTGAGAATCTTTTCCCGAATGGACCGAACCACCAGAGGGGATGGGAAATGAGGCATCAGTCCATTTATAGTTTCCTTTTTCTGGAACCTTCTAAAATCCCCCAGGGATGTAACTGCACACAAGGACCTATAGACCCTTGAGACACTGGTTCACATGCTATTTCTTCCCCTTCCACTGACCTTTTTTATGTGTATATGAAAGCCTATTGAGTCCACATGCTCAGGACACCTCTCTGGTCCTCAGCTTTTTGGCAGTATCTCTCAAATCTCTGACAATATAAGGAAGATTAGTTTAAAGTAATGATGCAAAGCAAGCTGTGGGAGGAAAAGGCTTGTGTCTGTTTGGTCATCTGCGTATCACTCGACAGCTAACCCAGCACTTGGCACATAGTAGAGGTCAGTACATAGTTGTTGAATGAACCTATGAACCAGGGGTGTGGGGTGACGGCTGCAGGCCTGCAATTTTCTGAGACCTGAGATCTGTCCAAGGTGCTGCCCTGGGGACCTTGACCTCCCAGGAAGCAAGAGTGCTTCCAGAGCCATGGAGACGTACCCCTTGCAGTCGCAAATTCTCATTTCTTTCCAGTGGGCAGTTGCATGGTAGGACATTTTTTCTCTTAAGCAATTATTTTTGAATTATTTTGGCTTCTTTGATGTGGCTGTCAAAAGTGAGAATATAGTAATGAACTCTCCCTCTGGCTGTGTTTAGAGATGAGCACTCTAAGGCTTCACTTAGTTGTCTTTCCTCACACTTGAGAGTGTACTCTTCAAAGAATGGCAAGTTCATGGACTACTACTTTTGCTGAGGTGTGTGTGTTTAGAAAGAGACAACACAGACAGATTGAGGACACTGTCTTGGGATTTTTCTTTTTTTTTTTTCAAAAAGAGAAAAAGCTAACTCTCATGATAGCTCACTGATCTTTACTGATGACAAGATCCCCAAGCAAATCCCTCCTGGCCTGGGAATCGCCCACCCATGCCAGGGGCCCAGCGAAGCAAAAGGCTGCAGCTCGGTGAGCCTAGGGCTGGCTGTGTGAGCCACCTGGGCTCAGCAGCCACCACCGGGGGACACCCAGAGGCAGCATTTGGACCTAAAACGAGCACCAATTGAGGGGCCATGAACTTGGTTGTGTTGCTTACAAGCTGTGTGTGGTCTAATCTTGGTTGTGTTGCTTACAAGCTGTGTGGTCTTGGGTAAGTCTCTTCTCTGATCATCAGTTTACTCATCTCTATAAAATGAGATTCAGAATATTACTTTGCCCAACTTCTAGACTTTGTTATGGGCATAAAAATAAAGTGCTTTAAAAATTAGAAAGTGCCATGCATATGTGAGGTGATGATATTCTTCCTGTCTCTCATCCAAAAATGGGAAGCTAGAATTTAACAGATCTGTCCTCATTAAAGCTTCTTCAGATGGAGTTTTGATGACAGGCCAACAGCACTTGCTTCACTGCAAGGACTGGTGCAGAATTCCACGAGCCTTGTGTTAGTTGCTCTATATTATGCCATCAGTTTTTGAAGCCAATCTTAGAATGTCCTTGCAGTTTCCAAAGAAAACCTTTTTACCTCAGTAGAATTCCCAGTGACTGTTTCATTGGGAAACTGCTCTGTGCTGAGTACAAAACGGGTCAGGCATTTTGCAGAATCCGTTGATGGGTGGATTCTGAGAATGGGAAACATGGCACAGACCCTTGCCTGGCTTGGGGAGACTCCAGCCAGAGAAGCTGTTACATCAGGAGCTCAGGTGAAAGGGCAGGGTGGGAGCTGTCTGGGATGTTGGCACGTCTTCTAGAAGACCACCTGACACAGTGGACCCTCATATAGCCAGAGAGCAGGACATTAGCAGTAGTGAACAGAGTCCCCCCTGGGACACTATAGGATAAATCATGCAGAAAGTGCAGGAAGGCAGTGGAGAGCAGAGCAGGAGCACTGGTTGAGAATCATATGATCTGAGTCTGCTTCTCTTAAGTATCTTTAGTCAAGTTCTGTAACTTCACTGAGTCTCAATGTCCTCATCTGTGAATATGGTATTTTTCTTGCCTGTCTCACAGGTACACTGAGAAAAACAAACACGGTCAAGTATATAAACCCGTAAACTAAAAAAGGAGCCATCAAATTCTGGCATATTTATTAGTAGTGTAACTGTGCTGGTGGGCTCTTGCTTTTAATAAAGCTGGGATCAGCTGGCACCTTTAAAAAGATTGCAAACAGAGAGGTATGAAAAGGTAACCTGTAGTCTACAGGGGTTGGTACAGAGAGGGTGGGAGACATGCATTTTGATTCTAGTTTTGATTAATCTTACCCCTCTAGCTGTCCCAGTACCCAGCATCAAGCTCTCGAGCCCCAGATTCTTTGTGCTCCAGGGAAACTCTAGCTGTATCCACCCTTGGGTTTATCTGAGTCTTGTACTTATCGGGAGGCTGTGTTCCCCTCTTAATCATAGAACTGGCGAGTTTCAGGGTTGTAATCGACTGTGTGGTTCATCTGGCCTAACTCTAAGCAGACCCTAAACCCCCTTGACCCTAGCATCCTCCTGACCAGCCAGTGCCCAGCAGGCTCACACCTGTGAGGTCACGCTTGGTGAGCTCAGCCTGTCCCAGCACCGGGCAATTGGCCAGACGTTGTAGTGTTGGCGGTGAAGGCGGGCAGGTGGTAGGATGCTTTATAACTCCAAGTGAGGAGTGTTGGGGGGGGGGCTGCTGTGGAGCAAAAGATCCTCCATAAAGGCTCATTACAGGCCCTCCTTGATGATATGCAGTCATTTTTGGGGGACAGAACTGCTGCCAGTCAGGGGGCATGGGTGGCTAGAGGTGGGGCAGAGAGATTCAGTTGGTACAACAGTGGAAAATGGGCTTTTCTGAGGTCAGAAAGCTCCATGGTCCACACAGACATGGCGACATGTGCTTTGCAGAGCTAGAATCACAGTCATGAAGGCCGCAGGGACAGAGGAAATCCCATGAAAACTCAAAAAATGAAGACTCTTCCTTCCCTCCCTCCCTCCCTTCCTTCCTTCCATCTGCAAGGAAACGCTGTCTCCATTGCTTTCCTTGTCAACTCCACCATGCTTGCCAGGACGTACCACAGGCATCACCTCCCTGAGAGGTCCTTCCTGGCTCTCCCTTCCCCGCACAGCAGGGTCGGGTGCCCCTCCTTAGAGTTCCCAGAGGACCCTTGGCCATCAGTCTCCTCCATGGGATTTGTACTTTTCCAACTGTGGTTGTAGCACGTTAACGAGTCATGAAATGAAAATAGACCAGCACTTCAAACAAAATGAAATAGAATGGGGAAAAAGAAAGTGAATCACACATAACAAGAGTTACTCTTGTTGCATGAAACATTTGCTTTACTTTTGTGCCTCCCCATATGTGTACAGAGAAATGACATAAAATGCATTTCTTAATGTGGGTCTCTGTCAAAAAAGTCTGAAAATCATAGTTCTAGAGAGTGAGTTACTTCATGCAAGGACCATGGTTCACTGGAACAAGGCAGACCATCCAATGCATATGTATCAGCTGCAAATAAATGTGCTGTCCCATGCCAAACAGAAATGCCCAGGCTATAAGACAACTCTGTAACCAACCTGGGGAACACCCATGTCAATCTGAAATGGCAACTTATGTCAAGCCAGGATTGCATTCCATTTACTTCAATTTCAAATGTGAGCAGCCCTTACCCAGGGAGGTGCTGTAAGGCACACCAGAATGGGTAGATCAGTCTCTGCCCTTAAAGTGCTTGTCAAGGTGGGGCTGATTAGTACACCAGTAAAGACAGAGAGACAGAGGTGTCAAATGCCATGAGGTGTGAAAGAAGGGAGCGTAGTGTGAGGGGAGAGAGAGAGAATGAATGAAAATGTGTCATGGGGGTCATCCAAGGGGGCATCAAAGGGTTAGGAGACATTTGACACCATCTTTGAAGGGTGGGTTGGTTTGGGTTTTGACGGGAAACATGAGGGGAAGGGTGCTGAAACACCCACTAGAGGTGCCTCACCTCCATGTCTTTCAGGGCAGACAGCTGGTCTCCCTGCAGCAGGGAGTGTAGATGGGCTTCTCGCTATCAGCCAATAGTCTCGATGAGATGCTTGTACATTTTCCTTGCCATCTGCTGCCCTTCGCAGCCAATGACATGTGTTTGCTGCCTTCAGAAGCAGAGCTTCTGTGGCTGGCTGGTGAGAGGGGTGTGAATTTGAATGGGAGTATTAAACATAGATATTAAATACTGGACATCCAGCAACAGCAAGGTAGCTCAAAGCTGTCTGACCAGGTTAAGTTTTCATTTTTTGTGTTTTTTTGGTGCTTGTTAAATTACTTTGAGCCATTCCCTTCATTCACTTTTCTGCGTATCTAGTTCAGTGACCCCTGTGTCCCATGTCTGCATTGTCGCCTAGTATGCCTCAGTCTGGTGACATATGGGGAAATAGGTTTTCGTTCACTGTGTTGCATTAAGACACATGGACGTTTTGTCAGAACCTTAAGGATCAAGGGGGCTGTATATCTTAAGTGTTATGTTCCCTTTACCACTGGCCTCATGCACTGTGGAAGTCTAGAGACAGTTCCCAACTTGGGTAGCCAACCGAGATAGAGGAGCTGGCGTTTGCAATGAAAACCAATTCCCTCTGGTTTGTGTCTGTTTTCAGAGCCAACATGACTCAAAGCCGCAGTTCCTACTCCTTGAACAAACAGCTCATCATTAACATGGAACCCCTGCAGCCCCTGCTGCCTTCCCCCAGTGAGCAAGAAGAGGAACTTCCGTTGGGTGAGGGTAAGTACCCTTCCTTCCAGAAGATGGCATTGCAGGCTTACCCTAAAGGGATGAGTGAGGCGCCAGTCCTGGGTACCTTGGTAATGGTTGGGGTGGGGGATGGAATGAGTCATAAGCTGTTTCTTTCTTTTTTTTTTTTAAAGATTTTATTTATTTATTTGAGAGAGCGAGAATGAGAGAGAGAGAGAGCACATGAGAGGGGGAAGGGTCAGAGGGAGAAGCA